TTTTGTCTTCAGAGAATTTAGATGCTAGATTTGAATCTTGTTTATGATAGGACAGAGTCATTTATTTCAGGAATGTCTAAAGTAGTCAAACAAAAGAAAACAAAACAAAACAAAACAAAACATTTTATTTTCCCATTGATGCATTATTAAGAATTATATCTAATATTGCAAACATTAATGTTTACATCACTTTTACAGTGGAAATAAAAATTACTTAAATGTTAAGGTCTTTTTTTGTATGTGTATGTAAATAACTCTGATTGAGATGGTTTTGAACATCGTACATGGATTGTTGCTCATGCCAAAACCTGCTTACCAGTGCCACTAATACTACAGATCAACCTTCAAATTTCTTTATATATTATATACATGTATAACCTATATTTAACAGGTAAAACAGTATTCCAGGCAGTTATTGAGCCTTCTGGGTTAAAGTCATACCATGAGCATGAGGCAGGTAGAATTAGTTTTGTTTGACCTTTATAGAATAGAACAGTGCTTTCCCTGACTGTAGTAAAAGTCAGGGTCTCTTGCATCTTAGTGGATTTAGCTAAGACCTAAATGAGTATTCAGTGGATCCATCACACATAAAATGAAAAGATCCAAGTAATCTAAAAGGAGTACTGTTGCTTTTAAAGGAGGAAAGATTCCCTCTGCCAAAGAGAATATGATATCACTACTCAGTGATAAAGAAGCACTCTGCCTTAATTTGAAAGGACCTGCCTAATGAGCCATGCTTGGTTCCCTTTAGACAAATTTATTACTCTCACTTAACATGGACATCATTATTAATTAGGCAAGCAGGAATCATCCCATACTGTCAGCAGAGATGCTGGATTACCCTGAAGCTGGGTGTAAGCCAAAGACTTTCCTCACAGCTCATCCTTCAGCAGGGCTACTTTCCTTCCAGTAGGGAATTAGCATACTGCTACAAGCTTTGTGACTGTTCCTCTTCAGAGTCTATATTAATTCATATTGAGAACATCAAGGACAAATGGTACAGATGATCATTAACAGTATGAAAAAGTACTTACAAAATAACATGAAATTAGCTAATGTCCATCATTGACTAGTGAGTGTTAATAAAAATACAGGTTCAAAAGAGCTTTTGAACTGAATATAATACATTATAACTGAAGTAACTATTTTGTCAAAGTCAATTAGTGAAGATTCCTTCTTAATTCAGGCTTGTTTTTGGGACTCCTGACAAATTTATCCTAAACTTGCAGAGCTTAGGACAATTGTCAGTTGGATTCCTAAGACAAAATTTCATATTGCTACCTTTCCAAGGACATTTCAACAGCTGTCTTTTAACTTTGTATACATATTGTTTCCTACACCTATCCATAGTATAATTGAAAACATATTTAAATCTATGATATGGTATGTAGGTTTCACTTTTTACATACCTGAGCAGAAATGAAAACTTAAAGAAAGGTCAAAAGAAAGCAGAAGCAGTACTAAAGAGAGCCTTGCAGAGCCATCAAATTGTTTTTACACATAAAACAAAATACCACTAAGAAGGAAATTAATATCTCATTTGTATGGTGACAACTCATTGTAAACTAAAATATGCCAAGCAAATATAGTTGACTGGAACTTTTCTTACCATTCACTTAACCATATAGATGGATATCAAAATCACATGTACATGCAGATCATCAAATTACAATTAATTTAAAAAAAATGAAATTTTTGTTCTGTGGAAAATTTTCATGTTGAATTTTGTTTTCATTCCAAATAAGAAAAGTTCCTGTAATATTTCAAATTATTTTTCTACACTATTTTCTGGTATGAAGAAGTTTTGTTTTGAACTTTATTTTTCATCTTTTTTATTACTTTGCATTACTTTGTTTTGTTAATGAGTATATATTGTTAATGAGTAGAGCTTAGGGATATGGTTTAGTGGGGACTGTTAGCGTTAGGTCAGAGGTTGGACTCGATGATCTTGAGGTCTCTTCCAACCTAGAAATTCTGTGTGTGATTCTGTGTGTGATATTGTGCATGTTATCTGTCACAATCTGATGTAGTAGTTGAAATATTCTTTTTTTTTTTGTTGTATGTAAGTCACTGAGTATGCTATCAATGCATAGTATTGATTAAATCCTCTCAAAATCCAAGTATCATTTTAATATAGATATAGCAAAAATATGGCTTAATATCCCAAATCCAGTTTATCTTTCTTGTTTCATCTTCTAGGATTGATGAAATGCTTAATAAAATTTAGTACAATTACTGCTAGCAATATTGGTGATAAAATGCAAAAGCCTTTATTTAATCAGTTCAAAAGACTGTTCTGAGATTTTTGCACTTTTCAAACACATTTTAACAGAGATCAGTGTCAATATAGCTATTAACACTTTCATTTTGACAGTTTCTAAAAGAACTCAACACTTTTTCACAGCCAACATATTCTTCGCAATAGGAAAAAAAGACAGTGAACATGTGAGTCTCACAGTGTAATCAAACCTTAACTGTACCCAGCTAAACACAGGTAGGCATTCTGGAACCAAGAATTACACTTCCTTCCATTTAAAAACAGGGCCTGTTAGTTCAATTGTTCTTAGACAGTGATTCCTGTGATCCCCCACAGTGCCATAGAATTGTTTCAAAAAATGCCAGTTTCAGGCACAGTTGATTTTTTTATTTTTTTTTTCCTATTGGCTATTGTTAAAAATAGTTGAAGATGAGGTTGAGGTATTTTTTAGTTTCATCCAAGGTATGAAGAACCTTCCCTGGGAATGATATGTATCTCATACATTAATTTTGTTAAACTCTGTGCTGAATAGGTCCTTCTGATTATGGACCAATAGATCTATTCAGTCAGGTGTAGCTCTAGGACTCTAATGACTTTCAGATCCCACTTAAGTCCTGTTAGGCAAGATGTACTGTTACCCTGTATGAAGTAGGTGTCCTTTCCTGGAGGAGTGAGCACTTTTATTCATCCAGTTCCTACTGATGGGGTTTGTATTATCAGGTGCTAGACATGTTTTATGTTGCTTCTCATACTCAAAAGATGAAATGTTTGTCATGGTGCTGCTGTTCTATGCACTTTGAGGTTAAGCATGCAGTAGAACATAGCTGTCGTTGACAGCAACCTAGACATTATGAAAACCTGTTGTGAGTGGAATTGTTTAAAACTTTGTTTAATCTATAGTTTTAGGTGAAGGGCCAAGGAGGAGGGACAGAGATTATGAGACAAAAGTATTTGTCATAGGACACAGCATGTTGTTTATTCACATCTAACTAATTCAACTACATAGCCCTCTCAACACCTGGAAAAAGATGTTAATTTGGGAGAATATTTATTTTTGGAAATGCTGTTTTAAGATCTAACAACCTATGTTCATTATGTTTTTTCCATCCATTATTTAATTCTGTTGAGGTTAGGATTTGATAGAAGATAGGTAAAGAAGGAGATCACAGAATCACAGAATTGTCTAGGTTGGAAGAGACCTCAAGATCATCGAGTTCAACCTCTGACCTAACACTAACACATCCTCCATGAAACCATATCGCTAAGTTCAACATCTAAATGTCTTTTAAAGACCTCCAAGGATGGTGACTCCACCACTTCCCTGGGCAGCCCATTCCATTTGATCAAGATGATTGCTTCACAACTGTTGGGCTTTTAAAAATCTGAACAACTCAGTTTTGTCATGATGATTGCAAAGAGAGCTTGTGTTACCTCTACAGCTGCTTTTTCTAGACACTAAAGCAATTTTGAACCAAGAGCATCCACGAGAGCATGCTATCCTAAACCTTGGGCAGGTCAGTCATATGTCCACTGAATGAAAAGAAAGGAGGAAAATAATGCATACTCTACCATTACCTACTTACCTGCCCAAGTGTAATAATTTCATAGAGATTCCTGTTTCATTTATTTCCTTTCTCTGACAGTTTAAAGTTCCTGGTTATCTGCCCCAGAGAGAGCTGGCTTGAACAATATAAGGCTTGTAACCACTAATTATGGTCCCCTTGGTTTATTCAAGTTGGTTATAACCAGATGATGCTGCTGTCCTGCAAGTCCTTCACTGATCTCAGCTGTGCCCTCTGCAACAGGGTAGCATTGTAGAAGTTGCACCCAAGCTACATATATCCAAATTTCCAGAACTGTTTGCAAGGACAGCTGGTGAGCCTGTGGTTTGTGACAGCTGCTTTGCTGTAGTATGGACAACATTAATTAAAACTGCTTCTGCAAGTGCATTTTTCACAAGGATGAATTACATGCCAGAATTTTAGCATAAAGCATCCTCTACTTTTTCAGGAAAAGAAAAAAATAATAATTGAATAACATTTAAGTGATGGATTTCCTGACTAACTTTGTTATTTTTTGATATAGTGCCAATTACAAATGCTAGCAATCATTAAATGCTATATATTTCCGCAATCTGACATTCTCTGTATGTTGTTATGTTGAAAGTAATGCCAAAAGTAAATTCCTTCTCCACTTCCAAAGCCAGAAACCTAACCACTGGCTTCCAATATTGTCTCTAATGGTAATATGTAGCCATAGTCAAATTTCACAGTGGATTTTGTAAGCATCAGAAGTATGGATTTGATTTATCTAGTCTCCATAGGCAAAATAGATGGACTTATCAAATGCTTAAATAAATCCTTTCAGACTAGCATGGGAGAGTCAAATATGTCAGAGAAGCTGATCTTTGTATTCTCGTGTGAATAGAAAGTAGTTGCCTTTTTCTATAATTTATCTAATTTAAAGGCATATAGCTGATAACAAGTGATTTTTTAAGATATTGAAAAATATGCCAGATATGCTGTTTTTCTGTACCACCCTGAATATTGGGGTCCTGTTTAAAATTCTTTGAGGTGTCAATGTTTAGTCCAAAACTCTTATTTTCAGTTCCTCATCCCTCATTAGTTATTACAGTGTGGCAACATTAAAAATGTCATTTAGACATGCTAGGTTTGGAGCATGGATGTTTGCAATAAAAAATAGTTGATGTATGCCAGATTATATAACTTCAGGTTTTCATCAGGACAGTGATCTACTGGATCGTCGGAAACATTGTTTTGGTGTCCAGTCTGAATCTGGAGAAGATCTTTACTTTTCTGTGGAATTAGAGTCTGACCTAACTCTATGGGAAAAAGCCTTCCAGACTGCAACTTTTTTAGAAGTTGAAAGAATACAGGTGAGAACAACTGCCATAATGATTACCTTTTGGTACATTAACATGTAATTTAAGAAATTCTCTGGCCTCCTGGAACTCTCAAATTATTATTATTTTATGTATGTAATTTTGTAAACCTCCTTTTAATGTTCCCAAGCACCTTGCAATCTAAAGTTCAGAAGAGACCAACTCTGAGTTATGGCTAGATGACATACAGCTGTTTAACTAAAGTTCATGGACAAAAGAATATGAACAATGTATAGATCAAGGAAAGAAAGAAAAAAAAGCTATTTAGGTACTCTTACTGTCTTATATGCTACTTCATGTGTTATTGGACAATGTAACAACACCTTGCATGAATCAAATTGTCCTTGCAATAAGCAGGAGTGAGAGTACACTGAGAGTGCTAATTGGTGTAAGATGCACCCCTGATCTTTATTCTTTTTCCACATTTTTCTCGTTTCTTGGGTATCTACTCAATTGTCAGTTGACAGAGCAGAGTTGGATGACATTCCGGTAGAGATTACTAATGGATTTCTTACTGAATATCAGACTGGTTATATTTACAGATAACCATTCTTTCTCATGTGGAAAAAAAGAAAAAAAGTATTTTGATTTACAATAGGAGGAAAAAAACCCACACAATTATAATTCACCTAATCCTAATGGTTATTTTAATGTTCAAATCATAAATAATACCTATTGATGGAACAATTTTAGTTGAGGTTGCCATGAGTTCTTCTGTACACACTACTACAAAAATCATATTAATGTATTACCCTGTGCAAATACTGGCTAATATTCAATTTCCATTCACTCATTTTCTGCATCCTCCTGTGAACACAAGCATGACATATTTGTTATTATTATTATTATTATATTTGTTATTATTATTGTTGTTTTATTATTATTGTTATTAATATTGTTATTTAGACAATTGTTATTTTACTAAAATTCTGTTTTATGCAGTCATTCATATGAATATTTGCATTTCATATGAATGATAATCCAGCTTTGTGCAGGTTTATCTTACTATGCAATGATACAATTTGGAGAATATAACTGCAGGTTAAAACTGCCATTCAAAATTATTCAAATGTGTTGCACGTTATGCCATAATCATACAAATAATAGCAGTATTTCTCAACTAGTATAAATTGACATTAACCTCTGTTGAGGTTAATTGGTGCCCTATTCTGATATATTTCTAAAGATGTGTCATCATAACTATGTAAGCAATTCTATCTAAACCTCATTTATAGCTTCTGCCAGGCCTATATCTTAAACAAAAATTAGACAGACAGGTCTTTTCTTTTTAGGAAAGAAATATATTACAGGAGAGTGTGGTGGTTTTACCCATCTGGCAGCTGAACTCCACCACAACCATTCTCACACTGCCCCTCCTCAAAGGAAAAGGGGGAGAAAATAGAATGAAAAGGGCTCAAATGTTATGATAAGAACATGGAGATCACTCAACAATTATCATCACAGGCAAAACAGACTCAGCATGGGGAGAATAGAGAAATGTATTAGCTATTACTATCAAGCTAGAGAAGTGAGAAACAGAAAACAAACTAAACCACCTTCCCCTCATCCACCCTATCCTACCTTCTCTCTCCAAGTAGTGCAGGAGAACAGGGAACCGGGGCTGTGGTCAGTCCCTGACACTCTCCACTACTCCTTCTCGGTCACTCTTTGTCCCTGCTCCACGTGGGGTACAATTTATAATTCTTACAATTTATAATTCTTTCCGGAAGTTAAACTAGGTGTTATTGAGGGACTAGAGTATAAAGAACATAATACTTTGGGTTGTCTCCTTCAGCCTTTGACCTGCTGAATTATTCATAAACTCAATTTAAGGTTCTGTACTGTGTGAACAATAAATGAATGCTGAAATATATTCTTTTGGGAAGGAGATGCTTCAGTTTTGAAAAGTTGTGGGGTGTTTTTTTGTTGTTGTTGTTGTTTGTTTTTGTTTGTTTTTCCCCTGCTGTTAGTTTGTTTATTTATTTATTTAAGGAGTGGTATGAGAGAAACCAGAAATCAAAGCCAAACTTTCACAATATTTTTTTTTAGCAGTCATTCTTAAAGTTTTAAAATGTATGCTAAATATATATGAACTTTTTATGAACTTTTGTGAATGAAATTATATAAACTTAATAATCAAGTCTCCTAGGAAGAATTTCTTCACAGAATCAGCTACTTCACTGGTAATCTGTGCCTTACAATGCAGTTTCTTCCCAACAATACTGATATTGTGCTGAAGTAGATGATAGTTTTCAACAAGCTGTGCACTGCCTTGCAGAAAGAACCTGCAGTCTGGGAAGTGCGTAACTTTTTCAGAGCTGCATTGAGCCCAGGCAGATATGTCTTGCTTCTCATAAATGTTATCTTCCCAGCGAGGCTTCTCACCCGGGTACAGAGCTACGCTTAAGCCATGCTCTTCCAGAGGTAGCCACACCAGCTCAGTGTGGTGCTGCAAAGTACGTTGTAGGTTAGACTTCTGCTGTTGAGATGGGAGGCCAGGTGATGGTGATATATATTTTAAATCTGAGATACTGTCTCCTTGAAAAATTTCAATTCTAAGTAAAGGCTATTCTAAATATCTTGAATGTCTGCAAATAAAAATGTGTATGGGTTATGTATCTTGTAGGAAATTGGCAAAGTAAATCTACAAAATCACTCTTTTTTTTTTTTTTTTCTGAATTGAACATTTTTGCATAGGAGAATGATAAACACTGATGAACAGTCTTTTCTTCTGAGATGTTGCCAAAGGCAATATCATTTTGTTTTCTAGGATTTAGGATCAAAGTATATATTTAACTGATAAACTGATTTAGGATCAAAGTTTACATTTTCATAGCAGTTTTATAGTATAGCTGCTCCAAGAAAAAACACGCCCACTTTTATTTGCTACTCTGAATGCAAATTCCATATGACTGTGATACCACAGAGTTGAACCATTGATTTTATAATTTAAAAAATCTTCATTTTTTTGTGCCTTAACAATTATAATGTGTACCCCTGTACTGTGTAAATTCAGATATTACACACGTAGTGAAGTACATGAAGTTCTTTCAGTGTTGGAAGAGAATAGACCAGTCCCTTTTCCACCAGCAATAGGAAACCTTTCATTTACTGAGGGATGGTTATAGCTTTAAATCACCTTTGTTGGATCACATAATAACATATGATTTGCTGTTACTCAGCAACAGTGCAAAACCATCTTGTAAAGTACATGCCATTGATTGTTTTCACTTCTGAGCAATAGATCATAATCAATCTATAGACTTGAATTAAGCATTGCACTTGTGTTCCACTGATGGCTAGCAGTGTCCTTAAGCTTAAATAATAGACATCACTGAATTTGAAACTTTCACTCTAGAGTGCCAAGGTGTGTGCACAAAGATTATCCAAAAACTGTTTGTGTGTAGTTGAGACTCTATCTGTGAAAGCAATTCATGCAAATAGTTCAGTTCCAGAAAAAGAAATCTATATTCAAGAGTGAAAAAGTAAATTTGAAAATAACCAAAGATGACATATAGCTATGAACTTTTCCATTATCCTTCTTTATGATCACTGGAATGTCTATTTCAGCTCTTAGGTGCAGTAAATGCACATTTCAGGATCTCGTGTTCTGACATAGACCACTCAGGATCCAAAATACCCACTCAAAGTAAAGGCCTCTGGTTTATACTTGACATCAAAAGACCCAAATTAATAATGGATACCTTTTTAATTCTGATAGTGTAGTTAGTCACATTGTATCCATGATAATAGTATATAGAATAATAGTAATATATATATATTATTATTATTATATTTTTTTTACATAGAACAATTAAAGTCTTTGTTCTTGATTGGTATATATATGACGTCTAGAGCAAGATTGAAAGAATATAACTATAATTACATTTCATCCAGAGGGTAACTTTTTATAAAATACAAATAATTTATTTTAAAACTTACTTAAAAAATTGAAAATGTTTTAAAATTTTCACATTCTTTTATGGTGAACAATGCAAGCTTAAAATTTTGTACCTGAAGTCAGTCTTCAGGAAAAGAAATACTTTCGATCCTGAAAATATCATAGATGTCTCACAACATGTATTGAAACATAATGTTATGGAAATAAGTAGTTGCAAATGTTTTAAAAAATCATTCATTGAGAAAGTATTTCAAGATTTTAAGATTTCTCATAGAAACCTTTGGGATGTATTGATCCACTAGCGACAGTATAAAAAGCATTTCATAAGATTATGTCAATATGGTCTTAAACTATCCTTTTCACTGAAATTTATTACAACACGGCATACAAAATTTTACAAATACTTTTTCTTTTTTCCTAATAAGATGAATATTGCAATATTACAGGAAGTTATTGGATTCCAAAGTGAATATGAAAGTTCAAGAACAATGAAACGTTCCTTTTAGCAGTTGTTGTTGGTAAACCGCTGAGGTAATTCTGATTCCAATTTATTTTTTCCTAAATGAAAGCAAAACCTCTTTTTACACTTCTTAGAAATCTGATATAAATCCTCTGATTTAAGATATACCTGCAGTAAATTTGCCTTTTTACACACTTTTTTTTTTTTCCCAAATATTATTTTTGAGATATATGCGCATTAAAACAAAGACAAAGACATTCTGGTCCTAGAAAGAAATTGAAGAAATATGTTCCATGTTAACTGCCTTCTCTGATTTTCCTTTTACAGTGCAAGACATATGCCTGTGTTTTGGAGAGTCATCTTATGGGACTTACTATTGACTTCAGCATGGGTTTTGTCTGTTTTGATGCTGCCACAAAGGTACGGGTCTAAGACTTTTTACATTATGCTCATATAATTCCTCCTCATTTCATATACTTTGGGATAAATAGTAAATCTTTTTAGTGTTGTAATGGATCATCTTATGTCAACTCTTGTGCTTTAGTTTAAACTTGGGGTGACTTCTAAATTATGTAAGAAGCTGTATTCTGTTATGTGTGTGTTACTGAAAAGTCAATGCCAATGTCAACTTGAGACAAAGTCTTCATTCTTTAATTTCACATGAAAGCCCAGACTGATTCAGTTTGATATTTCTTCCACTGTTGCATCCTGGTTTTTGAGAGGAAATAATCTTCTTGGATTCAAGGTGATATATAAGCTTTAAAATTTTCCTGTTGCATGATTATGTGTGTGTTATTACAGCAATTCCCAATACATATTTTTAGACATTTTTCTTCAGTTGTCCATAAAAAAGAGAAATGTAATCATACAGATGTTTGTGTTGAATTATACTTCTACTGCCTCTGCCAGCATTGTGCAGGATACAGAAGGACAGCCATTCAATTCAACCACTGTCTGTCTATCTCATGTTTTTCCTGTCAGCCTTAAAAATGCTCTTTACAATTGGTGAAACAATTTTCTATGTCAAGTAATTAATATGCCATCAATTTCTACATTATATTAATGTAGGTTCAAAACTCAGTAAAATCACTGATGACATAAGTTTGTTTGCATTTGAACTAATTGCTAAAAAGTACTGAAATGTAATCAAGTTTTATTGCTGCAATCTAGACACTACTAGACACTGCTGTTATGGAAGAACATGAAATATTTTTTTCTGAGTTTCACTTCTCTTCAGTTCCTGTTTTCGTTGGAGATGCTATAGATGACAGTTCCCATTAACAATTGTTAAAAATGCCCTTGTCTTTCCAGTACATGCTCCTATCGTATAGCTTAAGTCTGAACATGTTAGTCCACTAATCAGCATTTTATTCTTCCCACTTCAATCTGCTGTTCGCACAAGGTGTGGTGAATTTGAAACTCAAATTCTTGTGTATATATATATATATTTTGTCAAGCAAATAGTCTTATATGATTCATCAGTGGAATACATGACTTTCAACTTGGGAGGAATTACGTAAAAGATCAGTGCAACAGAACTAAAATACAGTTCAAAAAAGATTGTATAGGTTTCCCCAAAATTCTCCAGTAATACTATAGCAATGCTTTTGTATGAAGTTGATTTGCATCTCCTCTAAAGCTCTTGCACAGCTCTGATTCTGGTAAGACTTTTGAAGACATTATGTACAGTACAAACGCAGACCAAATTTAAAGTTGAAAAGTATAAACACAATTGCCTTTATACATGTAAACATGGCTGAATGGTGTGGTACTCCTTCTGTATGTCCTCAGGAAATGTATGGTGGATTTCCAGATATAGAAAAAAGCTGTAGTAAGGATATAACTTCACTGTGCTGCTTTCTTAAATAAGTCTCTACGTCTTTCCAGTCATACAAAATTTCTGGAGACATTGTTGAACAACGTTACTTATAATACAGATTCTCCTTTGCTCTTTGCCAAATACTAATTTATTTATTTATTATTTGATAACCAAAAACAGAACAGTATTTCAAATATTAAAATTGACTACTGAAACAGTGAGGCAATCGTTAGCTTTGACAACAGATTTGCACTTAGGTATTCTGCCCTCTTCTTCTTGCTACCCCATGCTCCCCCACCAGCTCACATGGGTATTATTAAAAATACATGATGAACTCCAACGATAAAATAAATGCATCAGAAAATTGCAATCTAACTTACACTTCAAGCCAGAAGAGGTCTGACTAGGTAGCTAGGTAGTGTTTCAACCCTGCCTGGTAGAAACACTACTTTCTTCCCTTCTCAAACTAAAACCACAGTGCACAACAAAGTATCAGAAGATCCACAACGCAAGACAACTGGAATTAAGCTTTGGTGACTTGAAGACCAGAGAAAAGCTAAGAAGGAATTTTCCATCTTCCAGGTCTCTCAAACTTGAGGAAGGACCTTAATGCATTATAAAAATATGAGTCAATTTTACTCAGTTTCCTCTTCCCCTTGTCTTTAAAGTCATGAAACCACAGAATGAAGATGATCCTTCTGGGGTGGCATCCAAGCTCGGCATCCAAAAAGTTCTGTAATTTTAAGCCAAGCACTAACCATATTTAGTGGGATTTTGAGATCTAAATACAGTTGAAGCAGTACATGTTTAACCTGGACATGAAAGGGTAGCACACGTGTGGTGGAATTTCCTTCAGGATGGGAAGGACTTCATAGGCATTATGTGGACAGAAGAGACAAGGATGCAATACTTCACAAATAGGAGGAAAGATATTTTTTATTGTAGTGAATGGACTGTTGTGGCAAGAAAAAAAGTAATGCATCATCTGCAATTGACAGACTGTATTGGTCCTACTTCTTCTCACCTTCTACCATTGCAGTGGATAAATGCCCACTAAACACTTCCATACAGACTGAAGGGAGGAGCAGGGGACTACTGCTGATCTGTCAAATTCATCCAAAGAAAAGGAGCTGTACGTTGCAGCAGGAGTGATTTCCACTGAAAAATAATTTTTTAAAAATCCCATTTTTCAAAATTACACTTATCTCCTAGTTTTCCTTCCACCTTTGCTACCAGTGCTGTCCATGTTTTCTCTGTTTTTCTTGTTTGCATTTGAGACTGATAAAATAAAAATTGCTTTACTGCTTGCTAGTTTTTCTTATAAAAGTGGGTTTTACTTTCCTGCATGGAAGGAGAAACTAACACTTGTAAAGCTCAGGCCTCAGTACACAGGGAATCTTGACAGTTTCAGAGTTTGTTTTGTTTTTCTTTGATACAGAAAAACAGTCAAGCAGAGAGCCCAGTTTATGATAAAGGCACTGTGTTAAAAATGCATGATCATTTAGCACACATACCAGAGAAAGGCCACATGCTAATCCAATTTAATGAGTACCTAAATAGGAAAACCATTACTTACTCTCCATCATTTTATGGAAAGATAAAGGGTGCAATTTTCTGAGCCAAAAAATTTGTTTACATATTTTCATTATCATGATGGCAGGTGTAGGTTGTGGTTGTGTCTTGGCTGGTAATGTTGTTTGAGAGTACTGCTAAATGTGTGTAAACTAAAATATAAACTAGAAATGTTTAGTTACATAAACTAAAAATAGTATTTCTCCACCTATGAAGGAGTTCATATGAAGCAGGAGTTCAAAATTGCTTTGCAAATAAAGAAGTGAAAAAAAAAAAAAAAAAGTGAAAACCGGTTTGTAGGATAAGGAAAACATGAATAAAATTTAAATTGTTAGCAGAGCTTAGGGATATGGTTTAGTGGGGACTGTTAGTGTTAGGTCAGAGGTTGGACTCAATGATCTTGAAGTCTCTTCCAACCTAGAAATTCTGTGATTCTGTGTGATCAATATCTTATGAATACATACATATCCATCTGTAAATTAAGACTGTATGAATGTCCTAGCAATTTTCAATTGAATTAACAAACTCAGGATTAAAGACAAAAATGCTACTTAAAATATCATACTGGTCATGAAAGAAGAAAAAAAATATCGAATTGCTTATAAATAGTATGATTTTTTACACTTAGTATTTGGAAAAAGAAAATCTGTACAAACTATTATCTTTCATAAGTCACTGTAGTACAGAAATCGTGTTAGGTCATGGATTTAATCATTCCCAAAATACACCTATAAATAGAACTTCTGAATAAATTGGTTGCCAGTAGCAGTTATGACTCTTTTGCTACATGTTCACTCTATTGTTTTCCCATTACTCATACCAAATTCTCCTCTTTGAGTTAGGGCTGAACTTTAAGCCATATTCTATAGACTTTAGAGTTCAATGTCAGGTAACTCTTTCTGTCTAGCTTTTACTATTTGCAGAATACTACTAGAGTTACAAAATATTTTAATGAAGTTGAAGAGGTCTTGGACAAGTACTTGGAGGAGAGATCATTAAATCAGACTATCATCAAATGGACAAGCAACATTAGTTTTATGAAATCTTCTGATCTGCAGATATTTGGAAGTTGTGAGTGAGTTAGAAGGAGATACTATATAGGCATTTCTTCCTTTTAGTCTTCCCTGCATGTTGGTTTGTGATCATTCTCAGGAACAAGATACAGGGATAGATGTACCTTTTCTATAAACCTGTATGACATTTCTTAGCATTCTCAAGAATAACTATCACCCGGTTACCTCTAAAATGAGACTTCCGCTGTTAAATGACAGCTGAGATAACTATGCTTGAAGAAATGAGATTGATAAAATTAGCATTGATGTTTAAAAAATTCTTAATCTACCATACTCTGAAAAAAATCATCTGAATAATTGAAAAAAATAGTCTGGCTAATATGAAGAGAAAACCTCCAGGGCAGACTTACCAGTTACAACAATTAGAATCATAAAATCATAGAAACATTTATTATATAATCAGAATCATTATCATGAACTAGCTTTTCAGTACAAGAGCTACATGGAACTACTGGATCAAGTTCAGAGGAAGGCTGCTAAGATGATTAGAGGACTGGAGCACTTGTTGTATGAGGACAGGCTGAGAGAACTGGGCCTGTTTAGCCTGGAAAAAGAAGGCTAAGGAGAAACTTCATCAATGTGTATAAATATCTGAGGGGAGGGTGTCAAGAGGATGGAGCCAGTCTCTTTTCGGTTGTGCCCAGTGACAGGACAAGAGGCAATGGGCACAAACTGAAGCACAGGAGGTTTCAGCTGTGTGTAAGAGGACACTTCTTTACTGTGAGGGTGAAAGAGCACTGGAACAGGTTGATCAGAGAGGTTGTGGAGTCTCCTTCTCTGCAGATATTCAAATCCTACCTGGATGCCATCCTGCACAATGTACTCTAGGAGATCCTGCTCAGAAGGGAGGTTGGACTAGATGATCTTCAGAGGTCCCTTCCAACCTTGGCCATTCTGTGATTCTGTGACTACATTTTCACCATTTTCCGTTACTCTTAATTCATTCTATCTGCAAA